CAAATCAAAAATTCAAAGGTTTTTCGAGACGGGTATAGTTACCTATATATATATGTGAAAAGTGTGTGTATATAAATACAAATAAATATATATATATTATTATTTATATATTATATGCGCGGTACTTATTAGAAAGCGCTCAATATCAGAGATAGAGCTAACATATTTGGTTGGATAGATGTGAGTTTGTGACCCTGGGTTTCACGCTTTAGCGATCGTCAGACAAACGACGAAAGCGTGAAACTCCTAGGTCCTTTCTTTCATCTATCCAACTAAATATATATATATATATATATATATATATATATATATATATATATATATATATATAAAGAGAGAGAGAGATTTATATAGTAAATATAATAAATCTATGGTATATAATCTAAGTGGATTCTAGTAATATAAAATATTAAAACTGACCCACAAGAAGAGCTCAGTCTATTTATTATTACAGAGCAAATTGATAAACAGTAAAATCCCAAATCACCTCATATGGGGAATAGCCTCTTTCGGCAGACGTCGATATCGGCTGTCTGTCTTATCAACCCCGATGTGGACTGAGTTCGTATCAGAAATAGAAAAATAACTTTGAAAGCTAAAAAAAAAAAAAAAAACAGTCAAAAACAAATACAGAATTTATCCATTGCAATGTTTCAGTCAGACGAAAGGCACAAGGCAGTGGTCAGAGGAAGGTGGAAGATATTTTTCTTAAAGGGAAAAAATTTTATAAACTTATATCCGAATATTAACCCTATGACATACACACACACGCAAACACATACACACACACATACACACACATATATATATTTTAATATAATATATATAATTCTATTTTAGTATAACCCCAACTTTAAAGCTCTTAATAGCTATTATAACCTTACTTCGTTGTCAAGTTTTTGGAATTCTCTTATACTTGTGTTTTGATTGGGCATTCTAGCTCACGTAACAGCGTTTTCCCCTTGCGAAGTATTGTTAATTAATTTCAAACTTTTAAAACAATTTATTCTACATTCAATGCCATCACTTGATAAGACACCGGAGGTGTTGAAACAAAATGGCTATTTTTGTAGTGATTTTATAACATATTTTTGTTATGATTTTTAAATAAATAATTATATCTGCTCTACTCTGTATTGAGCACTCTTTAAAGAATAGTAATTGTTGGTTATTGGAATTTATTCCGTATACAAAATATCAATCTATACTTGGATATATATATATATATATATATATATATATATTATACTTGTGTTTTTGATTGTAATAAATTATTTCACCACAGCCCTTTTTTTAAAGGACTGCGGATCATCAGACTTTACTTCCAAAGATGAAACAAAAAATGAAAAGAAATTTTTACATTGAGGTCTCTGGATTTTATCCTCCTTGGGTTTACCCATACGGATTACCTAGTTTTTCATAAACTATATATATATATATATATATATGTGTGTGTGTGTAGATAGATAGTAAAGGTGTTACAGTTTTTTGTGTATATATATAACTAGTGAGTTACCTCAAATGACTTAACTCACTTTATAGTCCACCAATCGAAGGTTAACCAATCAGAAGACGTAGAACATTCAATCCGTCGTGTATAAAGGCGGCCATTTTTGTTCACTCTACCCGAATGTCCAATCCAGCTTGTCAGGCGAAGAGAAACAGAAGGACGAACTATGCTCTGCTACTTTTATCGAAATATCCACTGCTAACCTGAACAACGCTTTCCTACTGTCTTCGAAATATTCACTGCTAACCTCTGGATTCTATACTCGAAGACGACCGTCATCATGAATAACAAAAGGTAATAAATTCGTTGGTATATAATCCAAGTGGACCCTCGTAATATAAAATATTAAAACTTATGCACAAAGTTCATTGTATTCCTTTGGTAAAAAGTGAAACAATCAATTTGTGCTCGGAAGCGTCCAAGATAAACAAGCTCCTATTTTGAAAAACAAAAAACAAAAAACAGCTGGAAATGTCTAAGTAAAAAAAAATACCATTTTTTTTTATATAAAGTTTCCATCTATCTTATGACTGCTTCTACTCAGGGTTTCTCAGAATAACATCCAGTCTTCATGTATATTAATTACATCAATAAGAATATTTATTCTCTATATTCTAAGTGGCTATGTCGCCTGAAAATTCAATTATGGACGTTTCTATCGCATGATAATGGTCTCCTATTGAGTGAATTCTTTCCTCATTCGGTGTCTATCCAAAATGGCGTCTTTACATCAGGCACAGCTGGTGCTGTCTCATGTTATAGAATTGGTCGGATCGAACGATATCGCGTCCTACAGAGGCAAATAGAAATAATGCTGAGAAATAAAAGTCGGAGTAAAAAAAAATAAAAAAAATAAAAAAATAAAAAAAATAAACGCTATTAAATTTTATACCCCAGCTGGAACAACAAAGCTATAATGAATTAAAAAGTAACGCCTGTTTATTTTTGTGTCAACTAAAAGATATATATGAAAAGATTACCTAATTTTAA